AGTTAAACAATTAATAGCTTCCAAGAGCAGTTAGGTCGAGTGCAATAGAATACACACTCGCTTTTCAACCAATTTTTCACTCTAAACTATTCAAACGTCAATAATCCAACAAGTATCAGTCAACTAGGCACTTAACATTTATCACTCATCAATTATTCAATCACTACAAACAAATGTAGAACACTCACTCAAAGTAGTTACAGTTCACTCCTCGGTGCTCGGTCCGTCCTCCGGTTCACCCTCAGCCTTCGGGATATTTGTAAATTTATTAGATTATTTGTTAAATTTCGTAAAGTGATGATTAAGTGTAATACTTGATGATATTAAGGGTCTAAGTGATTATTCTAGCTTTTTAGGCTTACTTGATTCTTTTAACTAAACTCAACTTAATATGATACAATTGGCTAAAAGTGTATATATACCTATATGTATGATCCAAGATGTTTAAATGTATGCATAGAGTTTTGAGGTAATCTTAATACTTATCTTGTTCTAGTAACCTTATATTTCCAAAGTTTAGGTAACTTAACCCACTTAAATCTTAAAATTCTATGTTTCATCGAAATATAGTAAGTTAAGGTGATTAAGTGGTAGCTACAACTTACACTTTCTTATAAAAGTTGGAATCTAGGTCTTAAGGGTCATTTTAGAAATCAAAATTCAAAGTTGATAAATTTCCTAGAGATTGGCAGCTTAGTATTCCTATGAACTTTCTTTATTTCATCCTATTTTTGGATGAATTTTTCACAGTAAAACTGTTATAAGATAGTTTGAAGAGGTTTTGATCAATTTTGGTTCAAGTTCCATTTTAGAATTCAAAGTTAAAATCTAAACACTTGTTTTAGAATGGTTCGAAACAGTTTTGCAACAATGGGTAGTCAAGTTTCTTCCTTTAATTTGCTATATTCTTGGTTAAACTTCCTCAAATTCAAGGTACATTTCACTATCATTCTGTTATAGATTATTTTTTGTTAAGACTTAACTAAAATTTCCAGAAAAACTCAGTAATTCAACCGAAATCATCCAGTCAACTCAAATCTGTCAAAACAGTTTCGCATGCTAGACCGGCTCCCATTTCTTTCTCTAAGATTCAGTTATTTCCTCCTAAATCAGGACAACCACAATATACAGAGTAAAACAAAGGATTAGGTTGTTTTTGATCAATATATGCATAAATTTCAGGTTACAAGATGAAATCTAACCTTGAGAAAACACAACAGCATTCTCGGGTTCAAAGTTGGGATTTCCAGCCATATGTCTTCACCAAATTTTCATTCAATGTATCAAACATAACCAAATTCGACATGCATTCACTTATATACTAAAATGAGGTCATGAAATTTTGAAATTCAACAAAACTCTCCAATAAATTTCAGTTTTTAAAACCAAAAGTTCAGCTAGCTTAACTGGACAAACTATCAAACTATCTCACAGCCTTGCAGTCTTTGTATGATCATTTCAGCCCCTGCAAATCCAATTTTTACCAAGAAACTTGCATGCAACCACAAATACAGCATATACAGAGCACATAACATGATTTTCCAGCCAATTTCCTCCAAAACACCCATTCAAAACTAGAAGATTCATCATCGGCTAAGCTAGAAATTTTCCAGCAGCCATGCAATCCTCCAAACAAGAATTCCAGTCACAAAAGTCAAGATTTTCACCATAAAAACTCACATGCTTGCTAAGATTGAAGTGTTAGAAGGTATATGGAGTCACGATATGTCAATTTACAACCAAAGTTTTAGATATAAAGTTAGAAAAATCCCAACTTCTCTCCCACGAGTTCCAACAGAAAATTCTAGCAAGTTTCTTCAAGCTTTCATCCAAAGTCACCAACTTTCCACTAGATTCAATGGTAAAACATTCTATATATCATATAAAGAAATAGATAAGACATATATCATGAACTCCTAGTAAAATTCCTCCAAAATTTAGAATGAAAAGCTGTGAAACTAAGCTCTCTTTTCCCCTCTGCCAAAGCTGGAAATTTCTAGCAAGAAATCAGTCTTCAAGTAAGGTTTTCTCTAGCAAAACTCCTCTTTTCTTCACTCAAATTCAACATGCAACAAGTACCTAGGTATATGGAGAGAATGGAGGGTGTGGTTAGCAAATTTTAACTCTTTTCCCCTGCCAATAAAAGCTGGAAATGCAGAATCAGCTTCACCCCTTTCCCTCTCAGTTTTCAAGCAGCAAGTTGTCCAGAAATTTCCAGCTTTTGGATGAAATTTCTCCAACTAAACCTCTTTTCTTGGTTCTAATTCAATCTAAGACACAACTAACTAAAAGTAGAAGGAAAAAGACGAAGAACTTAGTAAATTACCTCTTATTTCTTCATGGTTTTGGGCTGGAAAATTTTCTGGTCTCTCTCTCTTGATTCCCTTAGCTAAATGAGTTGAAGTTGTTTCTTGTTTCTTGGCTGGTGTTCCACAGTTGAAGAAGGATGGAAGCTTCACGTTTTCTCTTGGTCTCTCAACTCTCTCTTTCTCTCTCAGTTTTAGAAGTGATCGAGACAAGAATGAACTAAAATTGGTGTTTGGGAGGTTTTGTCTTGACATATCTTGCATGGTAGTTTAGGTATATTCACATAGCAATTTGGTCATTTGGCAATAATTTTAACACTTGGCAAGAATCTTGACATTTGTCAAATGCATGTATTTTGTGTCAAGACATTATTCAACTATGGCCAAATAATTTTTAGTGGTCACACTATTGCCCCATTAATTTGTTTGAATTAGTATTATATCCCTAGGATTTAATCTTGCAGTGGATTAAAACACACTTGAACACATAAGTTACACAAAAGCAATTAAACACGTAATTAAATCGATAGATAAGTAACATAACACGTTCGAATTTTTAAGTAACAGGTGAAGAGTATTTATATAAATTTTGGATTCTCACATTACAAACTCCTATTATTCACCTCTCAAGTGGTAAAACAATTAAACACTTAAATTCGTTAATAATAAGTTATATATATATATATAATTAAAATAAAAGTATGAAATTTACACAAAATTTTCGAGTCCTCACATATTTAGCACTTTTGTTGTTTCAATCATGATTAACTTATCATTAATTATGAATATCTAAAGGTATTGTATCATCAATGAAAGTTGTGATTTAACACTAGTTTATGGAAGTGTTGAATCTAGGGAGCATTCTCATGAAAGTAGGGAAACAACTTTGTGGATTTAACCATGTAATTTCAAAGAATTGAATGAATCTATAGCTAGTTTTTTCACCACTAAATATAGGTGAGGGATAGTTATAGGTATAGTTGGGGCACTAGTGAAAGTGAGTATCATGTACATTAGGAAATTAGTCATGACTTAGCCAAGATAATAAACTCAATGAACCAGTAATATTCACTTACAAGAGTATTTAGGAATTCATTGACTCTAGGAATCTCTTTGTTTTTTAGTAGTATAGATTTATGTACTCTACTTGTGATAGTCTAAATAATAAAGAAGTTCGAATACTATCGGTAGTTGACAATCTTTCCATTGAGATCGACACCTAATATCCGTTATACTCGACAAATAATCTGTACACTTGTAGATAATGGGTTATTTACCTTTTTAAAATTTGGTGTGAAGTAAAAATCTCATCACTAATTGTTAGAGATGGCAATTTGTCCTAAATCTCAATGAGTCATCTATGCCCAAAGGGACTTTGGGTAGGATGGGTATTCTAATTTTAAAATTGGGTTTTAAATAGTACTAATCTCATTTGTACCCATCAATTGATGGGAAGTTTTGGGAAATACTTGGGTACCATTGGGGCCCAAAGATCTCACCAAAAATTTACCCTATCAATTGTTATATATCTTTTAATGATTCAAGTGAACCATTTTTATTCTTTCAGATAGGTCCTTCAGTTTTTTCCTTGTAATTATGATTAAAATCCCGTCTACTTTCTTGAACTCTTTTGTTCCTTAGAAATCAGTTTTTTTAATTTTTTTCTCTTTTTTCGTAAAAATTCTATCGCCAGTCCCAATTCAGAATGCTTTTTGAAAAATGTCGAAAGAAACATTTTATTTTAAGACGGGAACTCAATGGTTACACAGTCAGGCCGAAAAAGGCCTAAACAAGGCTGGTGGAGGCTCTTTTAGGCTTGTAAATGGTTTTGAACTCCTTTTCTAGTAGAATACTAATCAAAATGAATGTTGGGAGTAATATGAAAGTAATTAATATATCATCATATTAGAAATGCTTTTGTCAAGTCTTGGTAGTTTTGTGATGGCTCGTAGTTCCAAACGCCATTTATTTGTATTAGTACTTTTAAGTTTTTATAGGACTGTTTTTTTCCTCAACTAACATTTAACAACATTGGAAATCAAAGATTAATATATATATATATGCATAAAAAATAAATAAAAGAAAATTTGAGGGAAAAAAGAATTCAAGAAAATATAAATTCACAATAAGATGAGAAGAAATATAATAAATAAAAAATATTAAAGTTATATAAAAAAAAATAAAAAAGAATTAAAGGAAAAAAATACAGCAAATAGATTTGGATATTGGGGAGATCAATTTAAACCTATACCAAAGTGATCCCGCCCAAATTAGTTCCAAAATGCATATGGGTAAGATTGGTCCTAAACCTATATTACTCGGTCGCATCTCAAATCCAAGTAAATCCCGCCCATACCCCCATTTTGCCACCTCTACTTATAATCTTTCACCAAAAATTGTTATTACAAAAGTTGGCACATAACAATCGCGTGTATAATCCCGATTTTCTGTTTCTTCTGTAAAGGAAATAGGGAGGATAAATATCAATCATGCAACAAAAGACGATCAATAAATTCCAAATGCTAGTATCTTCCAAATTCAAACAAACAACTTAGAGACTGTAAACATAAAATTTCCTTCTTGATCTTCATTAAAACAAAAATTATTCCTTCTCTCGGAACAAGTAAGAGATGAAACATTATTACAGTACAAGAATTACATAGATCATATCGAATATTTTGCCAAATCAAATTATTATTTTTGGAGGAACCTTTTGAACCACTTTGCGGAGAGCTTTGGAGTTCTTTTCAACCCATTTTCAAAATCCACATAGTTGAGTCCAAAACGAACCGTAAAACCAAAACCCCATTCAAAATTATCCAATATTGACCATCCATAAAATCCTTTCACTTGGACTCCAGCACTGTAAAGAATAGAGCATCCACATGATGATGTTAAAATTGATTGAATATCGACTGACTCATGAGTGTACATTCATAAATGAAGAGTTTACTTTCAAGAAAAGGGTTAATAAGAGAGGTTGTGAAAATGTCTTTCATAAAAAATATATATATATATATATATATATATATATATATATATATATATATATATATATACTGCCCTCGTGGATCCAATCCGGCTTGACTCCGAATTTGGCATGGCTCAAAGGTACTACCAGACATTTGGAGTAATACCAAAAAAGGGAAAAAAAAACGAATACTATTTTTTATTGAAAGGAAAAACTGCACAATTCAGCTCTAGCTGTTCTTAGATTATTTGGTTGATTCTTTCATTGAATGTACTAGTAAATGTACACAAAAAACGTGAATTTTGTACAAAAACCAAATATGCTTTACAACAATTAACTTAAATTGGGCATTCTTTATAAATTATCGTCCAAACGGTCCTTTGCAGATAATATTTTTCCCAAACCTTTATTTTTATCTACTTTCCATAGAAAATAGTGCTCTTCCTTTGGGTCAATATCAAATTGGGAAGAATTTCTCAGGCATTTCAGTTTGAAATGTATACTTTACCGGATTGCCTTGTGTAGGAAAGAAAGATGGCCATGGTAGTATTTGATCCTGAAATTGTCATTGATTGCCTCCGATGGCATTGTATAATTGTTTCTCTGATCAATACCTAAGAACAAGATTAGTAGTGGATGCATACAACATTAGTGCTCATACATGCTTGAAGTTAGTACACTTAATTGTTTTATTTCACCAATCAAAAAGTTTCAGAAATGGTTGTAGGATGCCGACCCAAATTACAGTTGCCTTCAGTTCAATGAAGACAACATGTTTAAGACGATCAACTTTCTGAAAAAGTTTAGTGATTTCTGGCTCTATTTGCCCAAATATATGTCAATAAGATGTACAGTAGAAAATAGTTCAGATGAGAGACTACAAATAGTTAAAAGGGCAAATTACACTTTACCCCCCTGGAATTTAGTATTTTTTTATATAACCCTTCTATAATTTCAAAAACTATACATAACCCCCTCATGGTTTGGATTAAAATGTCAAAGTGATGGAAATGATCATTCGTAATGGAGTCACTTAAAATGTCAAAAATACTCTTATGTAAAGTTGAAAATTATTAATTAACCAAAGAGGGTTATATGTATATTTTGAAAATCATAAAGGAGTTATATGATAAAGTATTAAACCATAAGGGAGTTATATGGTAAAACATAAAATCATACGGGGTTAGTGTGCCATGTATTTATACAGATAATTTCGACATTTTTAAAAGTTCCGTTACGAATGATCATTTCCATCATTTTGACATTTTAATCCAAACCATGAAAGAATTATGTATGACTTTTGAAACCATAGAAAATTATGTAAAAATCGCTAAATTACATAGGGATAAAGTGTAGTTTGCCCTAGTTAAAATTCTTTAGCAGGGCCCAGATCCAAGTGAACCTTCAGCAAATAACTTCAGCACAAATTCCTATGGGCTTGTTTGGGGCTTTTAATTGGCGAACATCAAATCCAGATCAAACGACACTTAAGATTCGATGTCTTGTCAAATCAGATTGTGATTATAGCTATTTAATTTAGGGATAATTTCAGAATCCTCCCCCATCGTTTCTAACATTCCATTTAGCACCCTTCTAATTTTAAAAATAACACTTACCTTCCTTCATAACTCAAAAAGACTATAACAGCCTTCATAAAAGAATGATATTCCTCCTAAGTAAAAATATAGGCCAATTTTTTAAGTGGAAAAACATTAAAAATATACTAAAAAAAATTAAAAATGGCTATGACAACACTGACATGTATTTCTCTTCACTAAATAGCCTTATCATCAGCACTGACATTTATTTTCAACAATTTTGACTCATCTATTTCGTCCATTCAAGTTTTTCATTCTTCTCCAAAATACCAATTTTCATATACCACACATTTTGGTGTTATCACGCCCTTAATACACCCATCTTTCATTTTTCTCATTCATTCATTCTCATCCTTTCCTTCTACCAAAGTTTAATAAACAATTATAAAACAATTGTACAATGTTAAATTGGGTTAAAGGAATATGAAGTGATTTAAACATTAGGCAAAGCAAGATGTTTGAGACTAGGAGGGAAAAAATGATTATATTTATTGAATGGTGTAATTTAAAATAAACTCCTTAAGAAAATTTTGGGACATTAGTATGATTTTTTGTGTACACATCATCCAAATGAAACTCAAAGCTACTATTCAGGGGAGGTATGTGTAATTTTTGAAATATGAAGGGAGCTAATTGTAGTTTTCATAAATCTCAGGGAAGGTTTGTGAAAGTATCTCTTTAATTTAAGCTCAACAGGTCAATAACCTTTTATTCCTTTGTAGCTTATGACACACACACACACACACTCTCACATATAAACAACTAGAAACCTATAAATATATATATAATAAAAAAAGGTAAGGACGCTCAATTTTCTAGCCGAAGTCATGTCTAATGATTACAAGAGAATTTTACTTTAGCTAAGTTTTGAGTTTATATGTTCAAGCTTGAGCTTAAAAGCTAAACTGTACTTAACAGACCTAGGGTTTGCCTAAAAAAAAAAAGAAAAAGAAAAACAGACCTACGGGTTGGATTCAAGACAGTTCTACTCACAAGAACACCCAATGTTCAACAAAATATGATAGAGGCTATAATAAATATCAAACCCAAAACTCCAAAAAAGTTGAAAATTAGTTGACGAACCTATGACTACTGTAAACTATTGTTGATAAGAAATTATGGTGTAGAAATGGTTGGCACATATTCTGTAAGTGGATTACCGTTTTCTGTAATGTAAATAATGGGATTCTGATACTTTCTCTTTACGTATAGCAGCATCTTCCAAAGTCCTCTGGGATAATAAACAACCCTGCCTGATCCAATTTGTTCACCAGGCAGCTTGCCATTGCGTTCCACTACAATGATTAAAAAAAGTTTCGGATGCATTTGGTCAATACTATACTTTTTTTGTTCCTTCAAGAAAGCAGTTCAAAATGAGAATAGAATATACCTGAGGTATTAGTTTTAGAATCTGTCGTATAACTTTTGTTTTTGATGTGAATGGGGAAACTAGCATCGACAACATATAGAGAACTATAGTAGTTTAAGCCAATGAAATCATAAGATCCTTTCAAGAGCTCAGACTGTTCCTTTGTAAATTTTGGAAGACGATCACCAACCAGAGTTCTCATTGAAGAAGGATAATCTCCAAAAACCAAAGGGTCCATAAACCTGTAGAGCCAATAGGTAGATTTTTTTTTTTTTTTCAAATAGAAGGAAAATACGAAGCATAAATCTAGATGGGCATGAATCAAAACCTTGCTCATGAACTTAGATGCTTGATTCCAGGATTATAGTAACACATTCGCAGTTAATAAGAGGAGATTACTACTGACTATTTTATCCATGATTTTGCCAACTAAAATATTATGTCCTCTATCTGAAACACAATGAGGTTTTGATACAAGCCCAGTCTACGTGGAACGAGACATGTTGCACATAGAACAAATTTTTATCTGAATTTTCGAAACATAATCAAGGTCCCATATTTTTCCTAGTCAATACAAGAAGATCGAACACCTACCATCCAAATGAAAAATCGAGGCCTCGAACAGTAGCACGATGATCATCAAGCGAATGGGAGTATGGAACCAACCATATGACAGCATGCGTGATCCCGATTTTTCCCTTTTGATATCCCTAAGTCCATTCAAATTGTAGGAGTTACGATGGAAACTGAACAATCTCGTAATTATTTATTTTTGGTACGAAGAAATGGTAAACATGCAACCTGAAACTTGGTCTTGTACAACTTTACGGCATATGCATGAGCTAGAAGCTGATGATGTGAAACAATATATGGTTCAGTGCTTGAGTCTCCACTTGTACAATTGCTGTTCCTCCAAGAAGAGCAGCGACCTGGTGCACTCTGCCCATAATCATAACCATATATACTGTACATGGATGGCTCATTGAAGGTAATCCAATGTTTTACTCGATCGCCAAATCTCTCGAAGCAAAGATTCGCGAAGTCATGAAAATCGTTCCTACGAGTACGCAAGATAACATGTGCATCAATGATGGCGAATTCTTTGGCGACAAACTAACTTTTTTTTTTCTTTCTTTTCTTTTTAAGTAAAAGTTATAGTAGGTTGACTGTTAAAATCACAAATTCATGTTATTTTCTTGTTCCAGGGTACAAACTTTCACAGGCTAAGACAGAGGTGTTAGCAGAAAATTTCATGAAATAATAATCTGTCACCTTAGGATTGGGCACGGCTAGTAATTCAAATCTTAGATATATTTGTCATCCAAATGAATTTGACAAACGGTTTTTTTTTTTTGGGATATGACAAAAAGTTTGCTAGTTCGAGTATATAGGTAGAGTTTGAAAGACAGCATGATAAGCACTTAGTGTTTGAAATTGTGGAATTGATTTGGGGAAGTCCCAAAATGTTAAAGACGGTTAAACAAATTAGACATATAGATAATAGTAGTTGATTATTTAAATTATACTTACACAATTCGAGGATTTAAAAAACCGCCATACTCATCCTCTAAGGCTTGAGGAAGATCCCAATGGAAAAGAGTGACAGTCGGCAATATATCTGCGGGCATGTTGTAAAATTTTGATATTCAATTCAATTCAATTAATTAACAAATAGGTTCGGCTAATGAGTGTTAGTGGGAACTAGTTAAGAGTGTTTATTTTTTTGTTTCAGTATAATTGAATTGAGAAAATATCTAAATGCAAGAGTACAATAAATGTGAATGTGTGCATTCAAATGATAAATCAGAGGAGAGAAAAAAATTCTTCACAAATTTATCTTTAATATATATTTTTAAATCAAGGAAACTTGCCGTTAATAAGAAGGTAATCTATGAGATTGTTGTAATATTGAATTCCTTTCTCATTTACACCTCCACTTAATTTTCCACCTGCACAATGAAGAAAAATTGGATAACAAAAATTAGGCTGTTAACTTGTTTACAAGTCTCTGCAACTCTTCTTTTCCATATCTGGAATTCTTTTTGGTGCATTGATTTAACGGAAAAATAATTTTTAGGCACCCCTAAAGATAAATTTTGGTCAGTAGAGATTAGAGAAGATTGGAAGTGACATCTTACGTGGCAAGACTCTTGGCCAAGAAATTGAGAACCGATAAGTGTCCATGTTCATTTCCTTCAAGAGTCTAACATCTTCCTGTAACATTAAACATAATATTGTTAATGTCTTGGTGGATTTGAGTGTGTGTACACACACATATATGTGTGTGTGTATATATATATATATATGTATATGTATGTGTGTGTATGTATATATATGTATGTATATATGTATGTATGTATGTGTGTGTGTGTGTGTGTTTTATTTTTTGTTTTGGCGAGGGATAGTTTTTGAATTGCCTTTGAGGAAATACAGACTAATGAAAGATTAAAGCAATTGTTGTTTAAGCAATTCCAATTACCTTATAAAGATGGTAAGAGTCCGTGGCCACATCTCCATTACTATGGTCCTGTATCTTCTCTGTTGTTCTAGAAAAGAATGCTTTAATAACTGTAGAACTTCAAATTTTATGCCATTGCAAATTGCGGAAATGAATGAAAATGCCTAAGTAACCATTCTTGTCAAATAAAATAAACAAGAAAAAATCCACATGCCTAAATGTGTATATTCCTATCCATTTTTCAGAAAAGACTCTGACCATTTCTGGATACATCAAAACTCTTATTTCACTTTGAGACAAATTGAGTTGAATGATTCTTGTAAACTTTTTGACACCCAAAAAAAAAAAGATTAATATAAACCTGGATATTTATGTGTGAAGGTATCCCATATACTCGGTCCTTTGCCATCAACATTCCATGCGCCTTCAATCTGTTGGAGAAGATAATTCGGTAAAGGGGAAAAAAATACCAAACTAAAGATGAAGAATAGTTCAGTAACAAAGCAAAAGAATTAGGTGTGTATTATGCACCTGATAAGCAGAAGACGAGGCCCCAAATAAGAACCCTGTAGGAAAAGTACTCCTATTGAACTGATGTATCCGATATGTTGGAGAAAAAGGTTCAGCACTGCGATCGATGGCATGCACCTCTGCAAGAAACAGGAGGCATAGGAGAATAAGCCATATCAGAAATTCCATGATCAACAGTGAATCTACCTTTGCATCGCTTGATCATGGGTTTATACACACAGCATATGAAGCTGGCATTGTCTGATCCCTATGGTTTTTGTGCCGGATTTTCGGCAAATTCTTGTAGACAGCCACATGGAGCAGCATTAAGGGAATTGGTGATGACTTGGAAGAAGTCAAATTCTGTCACTTTTAGTTGTTCTAATATTATAAATTACGTGCAGGGCCGGAGGCCTGGAAGAAGTCAAGAGGGGCCAATCTAGATTTCTTTGCAGAAACTTAAAAGAGTTTATGTATATGTTTTCCGTGTTAAAACAAATAAATATCCAGCTTCGTTGATTTCGTGAAGAATTCCACCCAAATTGTTAAGATATTGGGCCTATTAGCATAAAAAAATCATGCAGTGAAAGTAATAATATCATATCAAAATTTGTCAAACTAAGAAATAAGAAAGCACTCAAAAAAAAATTATATATATGTGTCTATATATATATATATTTATAGATATATTTTTTGGTGCAATGGAGGCCAACAGGCCATTTACAGAGTAATATAGCGAGAGATGCAACTCCCCTTACATCCTCATTCAAGCACCTCTTAACAACATCAGGTGCCCTATCTAGTACTGTTAGTCCAAGTTCTTGCTGGTGACTCCACTTTGCCAAGCTATCTGCGCATCCATTCCCTTCTCTCCAAGTGCGGTTGAGCTTGCACTGCCACTCCTTCCTCATCCATTGTCTAATCCTGTAGATAATGTTGCCATATGGACCATCTTCTGAACCTTCTTTGATTAACTGAAGAATACCAATCAAAGAATCCGACTCCAATACCACACTCCTGTACCCTTCTGTCCATGCTAACTGAAGTCCATACAACATGCCCCAGAGCTCCACCAAACTCAAAATATATTTGATAAACTCTCAAAGCTGTGAGACTTCGGCTGATCTGATGAATCACACATTGAAACTAGAAGGAAGGTACGGGAGGAAAGTAAACATTTTTCAATCATTTTACTATTTTTGCTCAAGTACCACTACAAGAAAATTGGTCATCAGTGACAACTTTTCTCTGTGACGAAAAAAAGTTGTCACAAAAGGAGATCCTTTATTGACAACTTTCTAACTCGTCACAAACCTCTAATGGGAGCCAACTCATTTGTGACGACTTAGAAAAGTCGTCACTAGTAAATTCCCGCCAAGATTTAGCAAGAGCGCGGGAGTGTTTAGAACACACAATAGTGACGACATTAAGAACATCATCACTATTGCTTGGCCTATTTACGGACCATTTTTTGTTGTCGTCACTGATCACTTAAAAAAAAAGTTATTAGTGACAACATTTTGTAGTGATGACAATAAGTCGTCACAAAAGGAGCTTCTTTAGTCGCGATACCTAAAGTTGTCACAATTGCATCAAAGTAACTAAATGTTTAGTGACGACCCGTTATTTTCGTCACAAACTACACTGCAAGAAATATGGTCATTAGTGACAACATTTTCTAGTGACGACAAAAGTTGTCACAAAACGTGGGTGTTTAGTGACGACAAGGAAAGTTGTCATAATTGCTTAAAGCAACTAAGTCTTCAGTGACGACCTTGAAAAACGTTGTCACTAAAATGATCTATATAGTGACAACTTCTAATATCGTCACTGTCACTCTACCAATTCGGATTTAGTGACAAGAATTAATCGTCACTGTTTAAAGTACTTATTTCTAAGTCACTTTCATTAATTCTACTGTGCCACCCTAACTTTTGCGATTTAGCCCTAAATGTTGTAAAAAATTCCATTAATTCCATTATAATACCTTAACTTTTACAATTTAGCCCCATATGTAGTACACCGATTTCTTTAATTCTATTATTACTCCCTAACTTTTGTAATTTAGCCCCATATGTAATTCACCAATTTCATTAATTCTACTATGGCACTCTAACTTTTGCAATTTAACCCCCATATGTAATACACCAATTTTATTATTTCTATTATGGCACCCTAACTTTTACAATTTAGCCCCTATTTTTTTATTAGGAAATTGCGAATGGTATCTTGATAAACTATGCATAAATATTTTATAATTTTCTCAAACTTAAGTAATAATTTGTTATAAACTCTAAAGATATATCTTTCATTATAATAGTTATAAGGCAGGCAGGTCTTTTTATCAATGGAATAAGAAATTTATGCCAGATTTATCCTTTGTACTACATGCCAAGTAGTATTAGCAAAGGAATAACAAAGTACTACAAAGTAATTAACAAAATAGCCTTCAGGGAGTGTAGTTTATGGGCAAATGAGCATTATCTATTCGGCATTTTACTCTCAAACATATAATTTATGATAAATTTATAAATGTTTGTAAGTAAAATTCAAAAAGTGTTACACTGATTTCTTACAAAACGAAAACTGGCAGGTTATCTTTTCAACATAAATTAAATTTTTTTAAAAAAAGAAATGGCCCATAAAGTACCAACTCTTTGTGGGTTTCTTCCATTACATGAACAAATATTCTGCTCTTTATGGGCATTTCACTCTAAATCATTTAATTTATGTTAAATACATAAATGTTTGTAAGTAAAATTCAAAAAGTGTTGCACTAATATTTTTATGAAAGGGAAACTGGTAGGTTTTGTATTTAACATAAATTAAATATGTGAAAGCAAAAAAAAAAAGAAATTACCCATAAATCTATGTCTTGCAAATCTATACTAGTAAAATAGTTTCAAACAAAATTAAACATTAAAATAAACTGTAATTTATACACATTAAAATATCTGTAATTTATACACTTTTTGCAACTACTACTTTGTGTTTTCTCTATAATGAATTTTTTAACTATTGAGAACTTAAGTTTTGTCTTGCAAATCTATACTAGTACAATAGTTTTAAACAAAATTAAACATTAAAATAAATGTTTGAAAAAGAACAAAAGTACATTTATCACTTGCAGTAATGTAACAAAATTTTCTCAACCATTATCAATATTTTCACAAAAGTATTAAAAACTAGCAATTGACAATATTAAAAACTAGCAATTTAATTAGTGACGACTTTCCTTGTCATTATAATCTTGAATAAATTAGTGATAACATTATGTCATCACTAAATTTTCTTTGATTTTGACTTAACAATAATGTCTTATTAATAGCATTTGATTATTTTTAATGAAAGTCTGTTATAACCATAGAATTTGACTTTCGTTATTTTCAATTAATGATGTATTTTAGTGCTGCAATTATAAAAAATTGCATGGCTAAAATATTTGCAAATTATAAAAGTATATTTTCACTTATATGTAATTAACAAATTTTGCCACTTATATTGATGAAAATTTGTGTTTTTGTACTAAAAAATAAAGAATGATACTATAGCAATAAAATCTATGCTTCAAACCAAATTAAAAATAAAAAAAGCATGATGATTGGTCTCAAATGTTGGGAAAATGATTATTTTTATTGAAACTATGTTATAACCATATTATTTGAGTTTAATTATTTTCAATTACATTGTAGACACCAAATTTTTGATTTTTTAACTTTATTTGTTTAATTAATTTAATAGGTTTATTTGTTTCAATTCTAGGGTTTTTTTATTTTTTATTTTATTTTTTTATTTTTGTTCTGGTTTATTTTATTTTTTGTCATCATACTAAATTTCAGAAAACAAAGAAAAAAAGGAAAAAAAGAGAAAAGAAAAAAAAGAGTGAAAGTGACAAGTGGGGAGGCATGCATTTGGACAAGTGTCTCTTTTATGTTAGGGACACTTGGTAAGTTTAAGGAATTTTTGGGGGAAAAAAATGAAAAAAGGAAAAAAGGAAAAGATGAGTTTTTAGGGCCAAAGGAGAAAGAGAGCAAGGAGAGGCTTCGGACACAAAAAAAAAGAGGGAAAGAAAGCTAAGCAAAGGGAGCAGAGGGAGAAAAACAGAGAGGGGCGGCTAGGTTTTGGGCATGAAAGCTTCGGCGAACTGGGAAAGAAAGAAAAAAGAAGAAGAGCGCGAGGGATAAAAAGGAAAAGCAGAGGGAAAAGAGGAACCAGGCGGCGGGCTGAGCAAAAAATGGAGGAAACAAGCAACGAAAAAAACACACAAAAGGGAAATGGGGGTTTCAGCTTCAATCATCCGATAAAAATTTTTCCAATCACCACTGCCAAATTTCCCACCACCTCAACCGGCTGCCGGCTGCCGGCTGCCACCACTCTCTTTCCACCCTCCGTCCTCAAATTCCCCCCAATTTCCCCAAACGAATCCTCCACAAAAACCCCTCATTTCCCATTCTGCTCCTCCCCACTTCTAATACAAGCCTTTTCTGCCAACGCCTCCACCACAGTCCTTCCCCTTTACCGCCGTCTCTGTCCGCGCCAAGCCCAAAATAAAACTCATCCTCAGCAACCTTTCTGTTCTCGGTGAAAAGGGCAAGAACAGCTACGACGTCGAGACTCTCATCAAATTCTTCTCCACTTGCTCCTCTTCCGTGGATGGCTTGAGCAGCAACAGCAGCGGAGATTTCCAACTCACCGAGCCGTCACCACCCATCGGATATCCATTGCCGCCTGCGAATTTCACCAGGAAAGCCTTGTAAGTCGTCTTCCCTCTTTGAACTTCAGTTCCCATTCAAGCACAAACGTCTGAGCTCCCAAAGCATGTTTTCCGTGTCTCTGTTAGTACAATTTTCTTGTTGATTGTTTATGGTTTTAGAATATACAGGCTCTAGGTGTCGATTGGACTGATTTATCTCGTGTTTATAACAAATTTTGGGCTAGTCATAACCTCAATTGAGCACAATATGCTGAAGTTTTTCACGCCCATTTAGTGTTTGATAAAATGCCCGAACGGAAATCTTGAACCAAAAGAGGAGATTTTATGTTTTTTTAATTTGAGAGAGACTCTGGCCAGTCCAAAGCATATATTTTTCCAAATATGGAATCAATGTCCCCTTGTGTCGAGAAATTTGATTTTATTTGACAAAACAATTGGGAAAATAGTTTTTTTTCTCTAGCTATTTATCAAGAAAGAGCATAACATACTATTCACTGTTTTTGAGTTTTCAACATCATTCGTATGTTAATATGAAGCTTCATATATAAGGTAAATATGCAAATCCACCGCTGGAGAGAATTCGACATGCTACTTTTCGGTTTTCTTGGTCAATCTTGTTTTCTTTCCGTGAATGAGAGTATATAGCCATGAGAAGTGAAACATAAGATGTTCCCAATGTTGCCTCAATCTTGTTTTCTTTGTTGTTATTAGCAATAAAAGATGTTTAATATTCCAAATTCTGTAAACAACCTGCTATATTGCTGAATAATGTTACAGATAGAAGTGTTGAATTCTAGAGGGGCAACCCTCTCTTTTGTTCTGTACTTTAGTTGCTGCCTCTGATGCTAAGCGGATTTTGTTCTGATTTTAGGCTTCTCAAGAGCTTAGCTTTTTTGCAGCTGGCAATGATTTTAGGCACTGGAGAAAGAAAATAGTGAAGATGGAAATAATTCTGATTCTAGCAGTTATTCTAATGATAATGAGGACGAAAGGCCGGAGAGCAAATCTATCACCACCTCTTGGCCTCAAAGTTACAGGTAGTATCATCTTATCGCACATATCTATATTTGTTTCTTTCTACATCTAGCTATGGTGTTCTCTATGTTTGTTCTGTTCTTGTTGTGCAGATTCTGTATTTAGCAGTGAAGCACTTGGTTTCTTGAATGCTGTTATATTTATATGGTACCAGATATTTAGCTTTACCTATTCATTTTTGGCTAGGAGAGATATTTAGAAATGGGATTGAAATGCTTTCATCATTCATATTTTGAAGCTTCTTCAAGTTTTTTCATTCTGTTTCGGCCATGAATATCAATAGTTTATGAGTTTGAATGGATCCAGTAA